CGCTCGGGAGGGGGTTCGGTCGGGCGGAGGGGAGGGCAGCAGCGGCTAGGGAGCGGCGGCTGGGAGGGAGTTGGGTGGCGGCGGCGCTCGGGTGCGGCTGGTAGGGAGATGGGTGGCGCGGTGGAAATAGGGTTTAGGCGGCGGCGCGGGTAGGGGAAACGGACTGTGGCGGCAGGGAAAGAGGAGGAGCGGCGGCGGCGAGCACGGGAAGGCACACAGGCGGCGGCGGCGCGGAAGCTAGGGTTGAACCTAGGAAACTGATACCATGTATGATGTATGAATTGCACGACGTATTGCTCATGTGCAAAGGCACGCATATATGATGTACAAAGGTGGTCCACGACCTCAACTATACAAAGCAACTAGGAGGTGAGCCTAATACACAGATATGCACAACACATATACTCATCACCAACATCTCCAATTTGCATCATCAGGCTCACAAAAGACTCATTCTAGAGTGTTAGAGCATCTCCAACAGCCGCGTGAAAAGACGCGCGTGCACGGTAAATTGGCTTTTTAGCGCGTGCGGCCCGGTTTCGCGCGCTCCAGCGGTGGCGGCAAACTAGCGCGCGTGGGAAAATGCGGCAGCTCGCACGCTAGATTTGGCGCGCCGCTTCGCGCGCGCCTATAAAAATGCAGCGCCTTTTGCTACTCTCTCTCTCTCTCTCGCTCCCTCCACTGCTTTCTCTCCTCGCCGCCGACACGCCACCACCGTGCCACCATGCCGCCTCGCCGCCGGGGAGGTTCGGGCTACCGCGGCGTCCGCGTGCGTCCGTCTATCACCTATTCCGCCTCGATTCAGTCGGGCGGCAGCGTGCGCCTCGGCCTCGGAACCTTCGACACCGCCCAGGATGGCGCCCGCGCGTACGACGCTGCGGCGTGGCACCTCCGGCGGTCCCGTTGGGACATGAACTTCTCTGACGTGGCGACGCGGGAGCGGGCACAAGAGTTGGTGCCTTTCCCGCGGCTTAACACTGACGAGGATCGTCGCAAACACCGGAGGCGGGAGCGTCGTCTTAGCCTGGCCGAGATGGACGAGGAAGCCATGGCATTGTGGAGGCAACGCTTCCTCAAGACATCATCAACGAGGAACAGTTCTTCGCCGAGAGGAGGACGGAGAGGGAGGAGAGAAGGAAGGAGCGAGCCGCCTATCGCGAGGACAAGCGAACACGGAAGGCGGTCGCTAAATACAACATGGCGCTAGGAGATGCATCGTCCTGGGACTCCCGCGACGAGCGGTTCCTTGACACCTATGCTCAGACGTCGGAGGAGGACATCACCGAGGCAGAGTCCGAGTCGGAGAACGAGTAGTAGTAGTTTTTAGTTTTATTTTGTATCATAGAAGCAGGCTATGTGGACGTAGTAGAACTATATATCGTTGGAGAAGTCAAGAAGTACGCATTTTGTATCGTAGAAGCAGGCTATGTGCCGAACTATTGTATGCTATGTATGCAATCGTCCGAAGGAAAAAAAATGAAATATAGCGCGTGCTGGAGCGGCTCGGGCGCGCTTTATTTTGCGGCGGCCACTGGAGCCAGCGCACCGCCGCGCGCAAAACCTGACTCACTCGGCACGATGTTCTCATTTTTAGCGCGCCACGCGCCTGTTGAAGATGCTCTTAGAGTACTCGTATCTGATTTGCACAATGTATTCACATATCATCACCTCTTGCATATAGCTGATGTATGACTGCTTTGTTACTGATGATCTGTGGACTGTGGTTGTGTCAAATAGGAGTATATCGATTGTGTATTCATGTCAGCTTTTACAATTGATTAGCAAGACATCGCGTTGGCCAGAAAAAATCTTGTTTAGTCTCTGCAAGGAAGGTTCAGTGATTCATGTGGCTCTTCTTCCGCTACTGTCAGAACAGAGATAGCTCTTTTTTTGTGTCTGCAAAACATACACCCTTCTACAATTATTCTCAACACTGGATACCCACGGAGAAAGAACATGAATCCACATGACTGTCGACGTCGAGGCGCCCCACACAGCTGAACCATTAACACCATCTTTATTCAGAATGGCTGCCCGGCAGATTGGTATAGACCACACGACAATTCACAGCGTGAGGCACGTTGATCAAACACCGTCTTCCAAATGCAGTTCAGCCACAAGGTGTTCAAGTCCCTGTCTATACTGAATGCCTGACAGAGAACGGCCACAAAAGAGCAGAATTTGCAAAATCAAGAGACGCAGCGAGTACCAAACACTTGCAATAGCACTGGTTTAAGACGGGAGTACATCACAGCCACCAACATCACTGTCATCATCATCACACATCTTCTGCTCGCTCTTATTCCGGGCAGCAACACCGCGTTACTACTACTGGTTCTGGTGCCTGCCATGTCTGTACTATAGCACGAGCACACCACTACAGATTATATGTAATTATAAGTAGGAAGTCGAGCCCAGCTAAGCGGAGTGATAGAGATGTCGAGCTGGGCTATCGTCGCCGTCGGCGATGATCAGGCGACGGGGGGCTTCTCGACGTCCTCGAGCGGGCGGAACCACACCTTCTGGTCCAGCACGGAGGCGCCACCATTCGCAGCGGCGCTCGCCGGCGCGAGGCTGGCGGCCAGCTTGGGGTCGACCGCGGCGGGGCCGAAGACGCCGGTGGTCGGGTGAGGGCCCCAGTACTTGTCTGGGCTCCCGGCGCCGCCGATCACATCGTCCGGCACGAAGGCCGGGCGCACCTGCTCGTCCACGTTCTTGTCGTAGGCCGACGCGTGCACCGCCCTCCTGCGAAACACAAAAACCGGACCGTTGGTTAATGAGGTTGTTGGGCTGCTTGTCTTACAACGGTACCACGTCTGCTTGTTTATTTTTTGAGCGTGCACATGCAGCTAGACGGTAGTGGGCTGGCCTCCTCTACCGTAGGTACCCGTGTAAACGTGGTCATGTCAAACTGACATAATGCTGACATCATATGTGATTTTATCTTTTGTTTATATTTTGAAAAAACAAAATAGATATATCATGAATACAAATTAGTAAACGCAGTGTAAAAAAACGTAAATGTAGTGCACAGAAAATGTTCACCCCACTTTTAGAAAATATTTCTACCACTCAAGGAAAATGTATGAACATTTCAAAGATGTGTACATGACAATTTAAAACAATGTTATCCAATTTAGAAAAATATTTTGTAGTTCATAAAAGTGCTTCGTAAATTTCAAATAAAATTTATGTTGCATCTGGAAGAAAAAAATGTTCACACATACAAAATGTTTGTGATATTTTTAAGAAAATGTTTACCCTATGTAAAAAAATGTTCGCATAGTTCAAAAAATATTTTGTGAATCATACAGCAAAAAATTTCAACGTGTATTTGAAAAAATGTTTAATACCTATTAAAAATGTTCAAAACAAGTACATAAGAAAATATTAAATCATGTATTTGAAATGTTAAACTTATATAACAAATGTTAAATCTATATAAAACTATTTTAGATGTATAACAAGAAAACTACAATGTGTATGACAAAAGTAGACATGAAAAAATATTTTTTGCAAAATATTTAATCATGTATTTGATAAATTTTAAATGTGTAAAAAAATGTCCCTGCTATGTAAGAAAAATGTACAACACATATGAAAAATGTAGACATGTGTTGAATACAAAGAGTGCCGTGCCGTGCCGGTTCGACGCCCATCAATCAGTTTTTCTTTCCGTGTGACACGCACTCGATGCATGGAGGCACGAACCATGCCGCTTGGGCAACACTCACACGCACGTCTGGGGCCAGGCAGCAAAGAAGGGATGGCAAAGTAGGGGGGAGAAGGTGGAGCGGCACGACGGCCAAGGCAGGAGGCGTCGGTGGGTGGGTCTCGTCCTGTGGATAAGACCGGAGTCGTCATCCTACTCACCCTAGCGTGTACGTGCACCCAGTACACCCCACCCCAGGACCAAGCCCCGTCCCGATCGAAGACGCGTCGCCGGCGGGGATGGTTCAGATCCGGAACCCAGAACAAGGCAACACGAAACGGAACGGAGAGGAACAACCGTACAGGGCTCATCTGCCTCTGGATCTGACGGCAACTCCGTGGGCGCCACCACCACCCTCTCCTCCCTTGCAAAAGCAAAAAAGAAAAGAAAAAAGCTCTCCTCGCGCCTGCCCCACCCCACCCGTCCCGTCCCTTGGAGTAAAAACCAAGGGAGAGCGAGCAGGCCTGGCCGGCAGATGGCGGGTGGACAGCCACCGCGCACCAACCCGTCCTCCCATTCGCCACCGTGAAAAAATCTCCCCGAAAGAAACGACCGACGAGAGTGATGCGTCCGGCCGCCTCGCCCCATTGGCTGCGCGCGCTGTGAATTACTAGTACAGCTACTGGAGTACAAGGAGCAATAAATATCCTTCCACCATCCCTTCCTCGCCTATGCTTCCCATCCCATCTCCGACGAGGGGGAAATATCTCCATGGATCTACTTCTCTCTTCTCTGTGTCCTTGTGTGGTGGAGCTCTGCCGTCGGCTGCAGATTCATCAAGACATCCTGTGGATGTGGCTGTGTTGCCACAGATCGTTGACGCGTATGGGCAGGAGATCAATCAATCCTTTTTCCTAGGGACTGACTAAACAAGTTTGTGAAACTGAAACTTTTTTAGAGAGAGAGAGAGAGAAGGCATTTCTGCCCTGCTTTATAAACAGGTTTGTGAGTATTTCCAAAGCGGCGAGGACGTTATAAAGAAACTGAAGAAGACACAATCTTTCTATCTTTGGGTTGGAAAATGCCTTGCCAAGTTTTAGCGTAGCATGACGCTACCTATCCACAACGCCGCTTGTGTGAGGGAAACCAGTGCCAACGGCAGGCGAGGGCACAATAACAAGTACAAGAACTAGAACTAGCACTATGAATCTCCATGGGAACAAGAACAAGATCTTGCAGCTAGAGTAGCAGTAGCACTAGTACTAGTACTGGAACTGATTTACTTTGAACATGTACTAGTCTGTTTTTCACGGCCAGCTCACAGGAGGCATGTGAGCATACCTCGGGGAGGCGTTGGCCTTGCCGGCGAGGACGCGCGCGACGAGGCTCCCAGCGATCACCCGCCCCTTGGAGCTAGCCACTGCTGCCATGCAAAGGTCGAACTGCCGAGAGGAAGGAAGACGAAGGTGAAGGGAGAGGCTCTGCTCTGAGAAGAGTGGGCTTAGGCTCTGTGTGTGTGTGTGTGTGTGTGTGGATGAACTCCTCAGTTCCACACCGCTCTGCCCTGCTATTTATAGCGGCGCCGAGCCGAGGGGGCAAAGAAGGAAGGAATACCAGGGGCGAAGCGAATGAGGAGACGAGGGAGCAGCCGTGCTGACGGCAACCCTGTGTGCTAATCGCGATCGGCGCAGGCCAACTAACTGCACACCGTTTCTTCTCAGAAAAAAAAAATACTTACGTATATTGGGTGCTAGCCATGCCATGCCCGTATCGTGTGCGTGTGCGAGTAGTCATGCACGTATCGTGCTTACGCACCGGATCACACGGCGATCATGACCGGATGAAAGAGGTCACACATGCGAGTAGTTGTTTCGATCGTATTTCGCACCCAAAAAAAGAGGTGTTTTGATCGTAATCTTTTAAGTGATTTGGGCTTGATCTTCGGCATAGCTCAACTAATTCGATCGTCATCTGTACTTTACGATGTACTCACTCTGACTCAAAATATAGGCGTTTTCTTAGGCATTTCTAACCGATCCCCAATAATCGGTTAGTGAAGTAAAATTTCGATTTTGCTCCACTAACCGACATCTAGCCGATCCCTAATGTGGAGTACATTTTTACTCCGGCCCTAAATGTTTTCATATTCTTACTTCATCGGTTGGCGGCCGAGTAAAACGTTGCGCCCTCTGTCTCGTGTCTGCCCTGCCGCTGCATCTTCGCTGGCGCGCCTCCCGCCGGCCCTACCGCTACCTCGTTCCATTCCTTGCCCTCCGCCGGCGTTCTGCCCGTCGGTCAGCCCGTTGTTGTCGCCAGAATCAAGGTGAAACGTCGCCGCCGTCGCCATTGTTGATTCGTCCGATTTCTTTCGAGTTTCTTCTTTTTCTAGCGGTCGTCACATCTCACCTTGCTTGCGCACCGCGAAACGTCACCCGCCGCTTGCCAGTTCGGTCTAAACCACGCCGGCCGGCTAGTGCACCACCACCGCACCCCAAGTGTTCGAAGAATTGCCTAGAGTTTTTTTTGTTTGTTTCTCTTTGAACCGAAACGTTTGGATTGTAGGTGAAGGGGTTGACGGAGATGGCACTGGAGGACTCGTCGTTATCCGAAGAGGAAAACGACGACGATGACTTTGACACAATTTTAGGCATGATTTTCAATGATGATGTTCGACTGCCGAGGAGAGAATCACAATTTGGCCCGATACACATCAACCGTGATGTGGAGGGCCACACCAAGATCATGAGAGATTACTTTGATCCAACCCCAACCTATCCGGAGAAGTACTTTCACCGACGCTTTCGAATGCACACAAGTCTTTTTCTGATCATTGCGAAAGCCATTGAGAGATATGATGACTGGTTTAAGCTCCAGAGAAATGCATGTGGAGAGATCAGTGCAAGCCATCTGATGAAATGCATTGCGGTTGTTCGAATCTTGGCATATGGGTGTTATGCCAATGCAATTCATGACTATGTACGCATTGGTGAAGACATAATCTTGGAGGTTGTCCGAAGGTTCACCAAAGCAGTGATCGCTGTCTTTGGCCCGAAGTACTTGAGAGCACCAACCGAGGAAGACATCCAGAGGTCGGTGATTGATAATGAAGCAAGAGGATGGCCAGGGATTCTCTGATCACTTGACTGTATGCACTGGACATGGAAGAATTGTCATGCAGGGTGGAAGGGTCAGTACAAAGGCCACTGCAACGATCCAAAGATCATTCTTGAGGCAGTTGCACCGAAGGATCTTTGGATATGACATTCTTTCTTTGGCCTGCCTTGCTCTCACATGACTTGAATGTGCTCTCGAGATCACCTCTATTTTCTAGGCTTATAAAAGGTGAAGCTCCCACGTGCGATTACTCGGTCAACGGGCACAACTACTCGACGGGTTACTACCTTGTGGATGACATCTATCCATCATGGGCCACCTTGGTCAAAACAATTCCCCGTCAAAAAGCTAACAAAAACACTCACTTTGCCCAATATTAAGAAGCTGCAAGGAAAGATGTGGAGAGAGCCTTCGGTGTGCTTCAGAAGCGCTTTGCAATTGTTTGTGGCCCTGTCGAGTACTGGAACTCCAAGGTTCTATAGCGAATCATGACTTGTTGCATCATATTGCATAACATGATCATTGAAGACGAGAGATATATGCCTGAGAACTTTCTGTACATCACCAACGGGACTCCGGTTGAGCCAGTGTATGATACAAACAGGATACTGTCATTTCTTAAGCATCAACAAAAGATCAAGAACCCTCAAGTTCATACTCAGCTCCAACAAGATCTTGTTGAGCATCATTGGCAACGTCTACGCAAGTCCTACTTGTTCTATGAAATGCTATTTGCTACCTTTGAACCATTCAATGTGTTTAAATTTGAATAACTCGGTTTCTAAATTTGGAATTCAGTTTGTAAACTATATTCGTAATTTGGTTGAACATTCAAATTTATGTTTAGTTTCTATATATGTGTTAATATGTAGCTGCAATTTATACTAGAATTGCAAAGTTAAAAAACAAAAATTTACTCTGTTATATTTAGGGAATCGGCTAGGTCCGGCCAAAACTTAGTGGACTATATATACTCCACCAAGCCTTTTACCCCACTAAGATTTAGGGGATAGGTTAGAGATGCCCTTACTGTTGAGGAACGTTGCATGGAAAACAAAAAATTTCTATGCACACGCAAGATCTATCCATGGGGATGCATAGCTACGACATGGGGGGAGCATCTTCATACCCTTGAAGATCGCTAAGCGGAAGCATTTATCAATGCGGTTGATGTAGTCATACACCTTCACGATCCGTCCCGATCAAGTACCGAATGTATGGCACCTCCGTGTTCAGCACACGTTCAGCTCGATGATGTCATCGCCTTCTCGATCCAGCAAGAGAAGCGAAGTAGTAGATGAGTTCCGGCAGCACGATAGCGTGATGACGGTGGTGGTGAAAAACAATCTTCGTAGGGCTTCACCTAAGCACAACTGGAACCATGACGGAGGACAAACTAGAGGGGACGGGGTTGCCGGCACACGGCTTGGTGAATCTTGATGTGTTCCGGGTGCTAGCCCTGCCCCTCTATTTATATGTTGAGCCCTGGGGTCGTAACTTGGAGAAAGAGCCTCCTCAAAGTCGATTTTGCCTGCAAGGCAAGAGTCCTTCTCGAACTCCAGGACCAGACGCTAGGGTCCCTAGCGTCTGGCCCCAGACGCCAAGATCCCTGGCGTATGGCCCCCTGGCCTCCGCAAAACTTCCTTTTGCACCTTCCAAAATCCTCGTGGGCTTTACCCCTTTGCCCATATAAAGTGTTCTTGCACCTGAACATTTCAGGAAACATCTGAAACCCCTTCCGGAGACCAAACACTATTATCCCATATATCAAATTCACCTCCGAACTATTCCAGAGCTCCTCGTCATGTCTGTGATCTCATCCTGGACTCAAACAACATTAGGTTACCAACATACATAACTCATATAATAATATATCATCAGCAAATGTTAAGCGTGTGGACCCTACAGGTTTGAGAATGATGTACACATGACCAAGACACTTCTCCGGTCAATAACAATAGTGGGACCTAGATGCTCATATTGGTTCCTACATATTCCATGAAGATCTTTATCGATCGAACCTTTTGAAAACATACGTAGTTCCCTTTGTCTGTCGGTATGTTACTTGTCAGAGATTTGGTCGTCGGTATCTCCATATGTAGTTCAATCTCATTACCGACAAGTCTCTTTACTCGTTCCGTAATACATCATCCTGTAACTAACTCCTTAGTCACTTTGCTTGCAAGCTACTTGTGATGTTGTATTACCGAGAGGGCCTAGAGATACCTCTCCGTCATACGGAGTGACAAATCCCAATCTCGATCCATGCCAACTTGACAGACACCTTCAGATATACCCGTATAGTATCTTTATGATCAACTAGTTATGTTGTGACGTTTGATAGCGCACAAGCTATTCCTCCGGTATCCAGGAGTTGCATGATTTTGGTCGAAGGAATATGTATTTGACATTAAGAAAGCAGTAGCAATAAATTGAATGATCATATGCTAAGCTGACAGATGGGTCTTGTCCATCACATCATTCTCCTAATGATGAGATCCCGTTATCAAATGACAACTCATGTCTATGGTTAGGAAACCTTAACCATCTTTGATCAACGAGCTAGTCTAGTAGAGGCTCACTAGGGACACGATATTTTTAATGTATCCACACATGTATTTAAGTTTCTGGTCAATACAAGTTTAGCATGAATAATGAACCTTTATCATGAATAAGGAAATATAATAATAACAACTTTATTATTGCCTCTAGGGCATATTTCCATCACTTACATATCAATGAAATGCATCTCTCAGCGTGCAGACTTTGGTTGTGTGTGCCTGCCAGCGGCCAACGCATCGCTCTCCGTCATGGGATTGCATCCTTGGGGATTCCATTCACATAAGCGGCGTTGCACCATTTGATTTCGCAGATGTTTTCCCGGCCTTGTTCTCTTTTTCTTGTTTCCTTATTCTCCTTATCTTGTTTTTCCTATGAATAGCCAATCTGCTATATGTTTACCAGTTTCGAAACATTAGAATTTGTTATATGTGCAACTTTCTTTTCTAGCCGGATGTGCCAAATTTTCAGTGGGTATAAACATGCAATCAACAATTTTAACATAATGGTCTTCCACCAAGTAAACAAACTACCATCAACTATAAGATGTAATCAACACTACTAGCGCCCCATGTACCAATGTGAAGTTTGATACAAAGAACGAACAAAAGAGAGAAACTAGAGTTTATAGATGAGATGGTGTTACTAAAGATGTTGATTAAGCTGAGGCTTCCCATGATGAGAGGAACGTTGGTGATGACGATGGCTTCGATTTTCCCACTACCGAAGGAAAGTTTCCTCGGCGGAATCGCTCCTC